CTGGGCGCTGTCCCTCAGCTCTTCAGCTCAAGGCTAGTGCTCTACCACTTGAGCCACAGCGCCACTTCCGGCTTTTTTCTTTTTGCTTATGTGGTGATAAGGAATCAAACCCAGGGACTCATGCATGCAAGGCAAGCACTCTACCACTGAGCCACATTCCCAGCCCCTAAATGCTATATTTTATATGGCATTTGTACATGTGTTTGTATATGAAGGTATGTGTAATAACAATTCAAATCTACTTTAGTTAGATATTTAACATTTTTATTTTCTTCTCAAAGCTAACCTATTAAAACAAATAACTTGTAAAGAAAAAAGAAACTATTTCCTTTCATAGTACGAAAAATAAAAATAGATTGCACATACTTTAGACAGGTTTATTATTCTATTTTCAAAAATCATAATCGAAGCATACAAAAGTAACTTCAAAATGTCTTAAATTTTCTTTAAGCTTCTTTATTCACAGACTCTTGCCCTCATTACTGCACTCAATAATAGAGTGTAGAAAAACACAACCTGTTCCCAGGGGAGCTCACCAAACAGCCAAAATCAATATACCAAAGAGACTGGGCTTGGGCAGGGTCCTAGATCAAGGTTTTTCTTGTACTAGAGGGAAGAAAAGCTCCCCAGGCACCTGGGAACAGAAGTATTTAGCTCCTTTGTGAGCTTCCATAGGACCACTTTTTTATCAACTCAAACCTTACAGCACTGCAATAGACTGTTGCTGATTTTAGCAACAACTTAAGTGTGTGTTAAATGCAGGAGGTTACATTTCATGAGGAAAACAGATTATAAAGACTAGTGGTTTATATGTGGAGATGTAACAATGAAGTCCTCCTCTGTGTAACTAATAAGAAAAAAGAACAGTAAGCATGACTTAATTGTTATATTAGGTGGACAAGGTAGCTGCCCGTTTGTGTCCGTTCTATACTTATTGCCATGTGGATGTCTGCAGCACTGCCCACTCTGCTCACAGGTCCCGCATACAGGGTGTAGGTGGGGCTGCATACAGTGTACAGATATCAACTTCCCCCCTTCCCGCACCCCCTGCCCTGCTCTAGTCTCCATTAGACTGTGGTTGACTTAGTAAGTTTTTCCCTCTGAACTAAACCACAAGATTCTCTTCTAATGGAGACCAAAGCAAATGATCAGGTCCTCACTCCTTTCTAAATAGACTCAAACTTAATGCCTCCAGAAACAAACCTCTATTTTTTTCCCCAGCCTCAAAGGCTCTGTGCTCAAGGAAAAACACTTATTTCTGAAGTATCCAGCCAGCTGGGCCTTTGCTCATAATATTCCCCCTCCAAGCACCTATGATCCTTGCATAACCCAAGACTGAGTCCCTGATGGTGCTGGGGCCTGCTCCTTCATGCCCGCCTCATCACACAGCACTGACAAGTATTCTAAGCACACTTGCCTCCTCAATGCCCAAGCTTCCAGACCCATAGGGTCACCTCCCTCCAGCAGGCTGGAAAGACTGACCCTGGAGCTGGGGGATCTGCCCTGCAGGCATGCTGGACACATGTCCGTGCCTGCTTACCACAAGGCTTTTACTCTGGTATCCTTTGCCCTGGCTTGCTTTCTGTCCTACCCTCTATCCATTTTTTTCCCTTTGTGAGAAAAAGTGCTTGAAGATGTCATCAATTAAAAGACCAGAATAGTGAGTGTGTGTACGCACGTGCGTGCACTTTTCATTACAATACTTTAAAGAAGTATAAAATTACTAAGAGGGTAAGAAAAGTAGCAGAGGTAGTGGTCTTTCTGAGAGCCACTTCATGTGGTTTCATGAGTTGACAGAATTTTTTTATTGTGACAAATTTCACTGCAAAACTTATTTTTAATAGTAATAATAATAAAAGGAAAACCATATCATGTTACCTATAAGCTTATTAGCTATAAACAAGATTGAGTGGGTGGGGGAGGAGAGGCCGGATGAGTAAATACATTTTAAGTGGTCAAGAACAGCCAGACAGCAATAAAATGGGTATATAACAAGAGGCCAAATTAACTGAAATGGGATTAAAAAAATACTACCAGTAAGAACAGGCAGGATGCTGTGGTTTACACTTGTAATGCCAGCCTTCCCTGTCTACCAGCATAGGCTTCTGTTTTGGAAGCCCTTAACGACTCCCTCAATCTTCCTTCTCAACATGTTTGTCGTAGGACTTATCCCTCCTACCTGCCACACTGCTCTGGCATCTGGCTGCTTGGCTGGCATAGTCATTTCACTGAGTTCCTTCAAGTCAGAGATCTAGGCATACCTCAGAGCTGTGTATGCATTTCTGCCATGTCTAGCATGCGCGTGCTGGCCTGGCCGTGGCCCTATCAGTCTATCACCAATACTTGGTCTCTGCCAAATGTACACATTGGCCATTTTGGAAATGGCCTCAATAATTTCATGAACTAGAAGATGCTTAAGGAACGAAACTAGCTCATACTGAGTCTTGGGTTCTCTTCTTTTTCTTCTTAATTACATGCTCAGATTACCTTAGTCCTAGCTAAATGTTTGAGAACAAAGCAAGAAGGAAATGCCCACCACTTACAAGAAGCATCAGCATAAAAGATCCCATGGAGATGATCAGGAAGAACAAGGAAATCATAGTTAGAGTCACAATTCCACGGATCCACCAGTTTTTCCACCTACAAAGAAAATGTTTTGAGAATTAGTATTTATTGTGATTTTAAGTTGTTGGGGGTTTTTTTGGTCTGGTTTCAGTGCTGACTTTTCAAACATAGGAATTTTTCCTCACTACTCTTCAAGAGTCCCCTGCGTCCCTCTGTATCACAACACAAACAGTAGGCATTCATTGAGAGCTAAACTAAACATGTAAATTATGTTAGCTGAAGACAGAAAGTAACTTTTGCTAAATGTGAGGGGGGGGGTGGATGATGAGGGAAGGGAGTCAGGCAGTGGCTCATGCACCAGGGAGGATGTGAAGGGGAAGAACAGCCCGGTGCCAAAGTCCTCAGGGTGGGGCTCGGCCCATTAGTGTGGTAGATAATAACAACAGATGATTTAAGAAGGTGACATAGATGGTACAACCTGTAAAGGAGAAGCAGTGACAAAAGATAATAGGGAACTGAAACTGGAGAGCATGGAGATGCCAATGAGGGCGTGAGGTTGCCCAGGTCTGGTTGCCAAGTGTAAGCTCAGATCATAGCAAGGACACTGCTTTCTTTAGGTGCTGCCTGGTCTTTCCTTGTCCCCAAGGTCACAGCATCTCCATAGGTGGAGAAAGCCAACTCCTGCTCTGGTGTAAGGCCTAAGGTACCCAACAGGACTCATTACCTGCTACCTGCCCCCCCAACTCACCCTAAACCAGGAACCTATGATTTAATTCCCAATATACCCTACAAATAACCCCGGTGTGCAAAACATCCAAAATGATCCTAATATGTGGCAAGAACCTCAACATCATCATATCTTTTTTTTTGGGGGGGGTCCGGTCATGGGGCCTGAACTCAGGGCCTGGGCACTGTCCCTCAGCACTTCAGTTCAAGGTTAGAGCTCTACCAGTTGAGCCACAGTGCCACTTCCGGATTTTTTTCTTTTTGCTTATGTGGTGCTGGGGAATCAAACCCAGGGCCTCATGCATGCAAGGCAAGCGCTCTACCACTGAGCCACCTTCTCAGCCCCCATCACATGATTTCTAAAGCCAGATGTGGTACTACACAGCTGTAGTCCCAGCTCCTTGGGGAGGGTAAAGCAAGGGGATTGCTTAAGCTCAGGAGTTTCAATCCAGTCTGGGCAACAGAGTAAGACCTTGTCTTAAAAAAACAAAAGTCAAAAGATGAAATGCAAAAATCAGGTTCTGAACATACCTTTATGGGGTGATTTCTAAATTACCAATTTTTCTCTAGGATTTTTATGATATTTATTTTTTTTCAATCCTGGGGCTTGAACTCAGGGCTTAAGTGCTGTCCTTGGGCTTTTTTGCTCAGGACTAGCCCTCTACCACTTAAGCTATAGCTCTACTTCTGGCTTTTTGGTAATTAATTAGAGATAAGAGTCTCACAGTTTTTCCTACCCAGCTGGCGTTGAACTGTGATCTCAGTCTCTTGAGTAACTAGGATTATAGGTGTGAGATACTAGTTCCCAGGTCATTTATTTTTACAAAAGATTTTCATTCAATTTAATCTAGTAACATATTTATTCATTCCCATTTTTAGAGCAGAAATATTAGCTGACTTCATTCGTATATAAAATACTAGCGACATTCCTTGCTTTCTGTTTCTTACATACATTGAAATACATGAATCTTAAGTGTATCATTCATTATCTTTTTTCAGTACTGGAACTGAACTCAGGGATTTAGACTCCTAGGCAGGCACCACTTGAGCCATAACTTTGCCTGGGCTAACCTCTAACTTGTGATTCTCCTGCCTCTCCTTCCAGATTCTCTTTAATAAGCCTGGAGCCTCATGCACACCACGCAAGCAACCTATTCACACCCTATTCCTCAGCCTCATAGTTAATATACTTGATTTCAAACATTCCTTCATCATGTCATTCCTGCACTTAAAGGATCTAAAAATAACAAATAACATTAAATCCATATACTTTTTTCTGGATTTCAAAGTTTTTCACAAAACACCGAAATTGAACTTATCCCACTTGATTTCCCTCTCTCTACTCTTTAACAAAATCTGCAGACTCAAACAGTTCTCATCAGAACATACACTTCGAAACTGAACTAAAGATGGGTGTAGAATCAAAACTGTGACAGCTGCACAGTTCTATTTAGCTTCAGAGACAGGTGCTTATGGATTAATGAATGGATTAGGAAACCAGGCTGAGTCAGAGCTAGTCAGAAGTAAAAAAAGGGCTTAAAGCTAGCCATTGATGACAATCCTGTCAGGTTCAGCTGAATCCTAGTAGTATCTCTAGTCCTCCTTTATGAATGAATCTGACAGGATTCTCAAGCCTAACTTCCAGAAAGAAGCACAGAAGTTTCAGAAATCAGTCCCTAGATAGGTGTTACCTTAAACTTGGCTTTGAACTTCAGAGAATGTCATTTGTAGACAATCAAGAGGTTTTTAAACAGGAAACTTGCTCTCTTTACATTATCCCAAATTTCATGGTAAACGAAACCTGCGTTCTCAGGAACATATTCTATCTGGCTGACTTTTATTACACAGACAATACCCCTCCCAGAAAAACTCTCCTCGCCCATCAAAAATCATATAGCTCAGTTCCTTCTTTTGGTGTAAACGGCTCTCCTCCAAATTTTCTGAGAATACAGAGTGCAAATTTGGGCATACAGAGGACTAACATTTTCTGCATTTTGTATAATGTAATACCTAATAAGGAGATGTGTTTTTGTACTTTTGATGTGTTTTTGCACTGGGCAGCCAGGTATCCCCCATGGCACTGAATGGGGTTGCTGTGTCATCCCACAGTAGAAACAAGAGCACAAGCCAGCGAGAACCGGCAGGCTCAATTTTATCAAAAGATTGCTCTTGTAACTTTCCTCCCCCATTACTGATGACATTAACGTACTCGCCAAGGCTCTGCTCTCATGACCTACCTGCTTTCTAATCAGGCCTCACCTCTCAGCACTGTTTCACTAGGGATGAAGCTCCACACACAGGAACTTGAGAAAACATTCAAACACGTAGCATCTTCCAAGGATGAAGCACTAAACTCAGGGTACAATATAGAGAAAGGGGAACACTGCTACTAAGATCCAGAGAACCATCTGGTTTGTAGTTCAAAAACCTTGATTTCCTTTCCCATGCTACAATTATCGCATTGGGAAGACCTTGATTTTACGTCTAAATCTTTATGCCCAAATGCCATCCCTAATTATTTTGATTATATAAATTTATTCTAATCCAACCTCCCCAAGACCGATGTGAGCTGCAAATGAGTTATTTTAAACACATAATTAAGCAGTGTCCTTAAAGGTAATCATCTCAGGGAGGAGATACACCACAGTAAACCACATGTTTTGCTTGTGTAAGATCCCAGGATCAATGCCCAGTATAGAAAAGGAAAGGAAAAAGGAAAAATTATCATCTTAAGTGTTTACATATTCACTGTAGTACCCAATCATGGTAGTACCCAATGTCTTCTTAACAAAAGCAATTTACTGCCCTAGAGGTACAAGAGCTCAGGCTGACCCACAGTTTGGTTCAGTCAAGAATGAGAACACAGCTAGGCACCAGTGGCTCATGCCTATAATCCTAGCGATGAGGATCGCGGTTCAAAGCCAGCCCAATAAACCACCAGAAAACCTGAAGTGGTGCTGTGGCTCAAGTGGCACAACACTTGCCTTGAACTGAAGAGCTCAGGGACAGTATCCAGGACCAGAGTTCAAGTCCCAGGACTGACCCCCCCCCAAAAAAAGAATGAGGACCCAGAGTCAGCTGTCAAGAGTAAACAGAGTTGCAGTGGCCATCTGACAGATAATAGGAGTCTAGAGAAAGGTCATCTACCAGCTTCTGGCAGAAGTGGACAAGGACTGTGCAAGGTCTCTAAGAGAAAGGAGATGGCATTATAAAATTCAAGGGTCCCAGTCAGGCTAAATGCAGGTACTTCAGGGGTTTCTCTAGCTTTGTTCTAGTGTCATTTGGGGCCAGATGGCCCTGTTGTGAGGCTGTCCTGAGGTACTCAACAGTGTTCCTAGTCTACCTAATAGCTGCCAGCAGCAGCTCCCCTGTGACCACCTAAAATGTCTCTACATACTACCAAACATCTGATGGAGAAGAACTTCCCTAGAGGCAGAGCTAAATCTGCCTAGCTAATGAATATTCCACAAATCTACCCACAGATCAGGGACTGGTTGGAGACAATTGGTCAACTACACGAAACCCTTTGAGACAGTCTATATTTCAACAGCATGTGTTCTTCTGGGGTATTGTATATTGGCCTTGACCAAGCCTAGGCACAAAACTTAAACAAGCAATCTCCTTCTTCAGAGTTGATCCTAAGGAAATACCTGTGGATTCAAAAACAAAAAGTTAAGATACAAAGAAAACTGTTTAATGGAGAGATGTTTTCCATCATGAATACTTACAAATAAAGTAACTAGCCTGGTCAAATAAACTGTGACTACAGTCGTAGCATTCAGCCATTAAAAATCTTCCCAAAGCCTGTTGTCAATGGCTCATGCCTGTAATCTTAACTCTTCACAGGACTGCAGTTCAAAGCCAGCCCAAGCAGGTAAGTCTGTAAGTCTCTTATCTCAAATTAACCAGCAAAATGCCAGAAGTGAAGCTGTGGTTCAAGTAGTAGAACAAAAAAGTTCAGGCCGTAAGTTCAGCCTCCAAGACTTGCACTAGTGCGTACATACACACACACACACACAAACACACACACACAATTTCCTGAAGTACATTTAAGGACATGAAAATGGGTCATTCTTCATGATAATGCCACAGGATGAAATCAAAATAGCAAGAACACGATCATATTTTTACAATAAACACATACATGCATAATGCACAGGAGAAAAGTCTCAAAGAATCAACACCAAAGTACTGCAATATTGATGTAGGAGGATTACAGGGGTTTTTACCCCCTCCTTGGTTATCAGATTGAAAAAGAGGCCAAAAATGTATAAATCACAATATTTGACACACTGATGCAATCTCTGTAGGAAAGTTTCTTGAGGAGATGAAAAGTGTTGCACTCTCCACTAATTGTTTTTGGAAAAAGAATTCTCTCATAAGCATTCTGGGTAAGAACACTGGCCTTAAAAGCCACCATGCCTGGGCTCAAGGCATAGCTCACTTACTTGCCATATGCCAAGGCCTAGGTCCTCATTCACTGGGCAACTGGGTTGCAAAAAGACTGTGAGAATAAATCAGCATATGCAAAGTGCTTGAAGGGAGTCTAGCACACTATATATGCTCAATAACTACTATCATCTATCATTTGCTATTGTTTTTGTCTACAGAGAAAACATTTACTAACTATAATCTTATGAATGACACATCAGAATCTGGCATTGTTATTACATAATATTGACAAAAATTCAGGTCTGAAACAAATCTAATGTGGTTTGAAAGCAAAGGTACATCTGTGAACTAGGTCATGGAAACAACTGGGAACTAAGAACTATTAAAATGATAACCATGCTTTCTATGATAGACATAAGATTTTCTTGATGGCCTTAAAAATATGAAAACTGTCCCTGAACCAATTTATATGAATACACATTTTCCAGATTTCAAACACACTATAGGCTCATAGTTCCTCTAGCCCTTTTTTCTAAGTAAACAGACTTCTCCCTCACCCTCCCCTTCTCTTTCTCCCTTCCCCCTCTCCTCTCTTTTTCTCCTGCCCTCCTTTCACCTGCGCCTCTTTTTTTTCCTCCACAGCAGGTCTTAGAAACTAGAATGTGTCTTCTCCTTGGCAGATCACAGAAACTAAAAATATATTCCAACTGCCTTTCTGTTTCAGAGCTGGCCATAAAGAAATATTCAGACTTGTCTGATAGTAGATTTGTATGATAGCAGGCCATAAGATCCTCCAACTCCACATCTAAAATATCATGACGGAAACTCCTTAGTACCATTAACATAATGGGCTAATAGGGGGCAAATGAAGAGGGTGGATGAGAATGAATATGATGGAAAAAAGTTGTTTATATGTATGAACCAGAACAACAAAACCCGCTGAAATTGTTTAAGAAAGAGAAGAGGAGGCCAGGGTAAAGTTGACCCAGATACATTGTATATACATGCAAAAATGTGGACACAATTGTCATGTATAAATGAAATTCCTGGAAGTGGCACTGTGGCTCAAGTGGTAGAGGCTTGCTTAGAGCTGAAGAGCTCAGGGACAGCGCCCAGGCCCAGAGTTCAGGCCCCACAAATGACAAAAATAAATAAATAAATAAATGAAATTCCCCTTTGTACAACTAATCTATGCCAATAAACATAAAGAGTCCCCAAAAAGGGCCCTGTGTCACCGCAGGGAAGAGCAGCTGGGAGGGATCTGTGGGTATCAATCAGACCCTTACTGTCCACTTCCCAGCTGCATGGCTGATTCTACTGCAGTCATTGCCTAGGCAATGAAGTCTTCTTAAAACTCAAAACCATGGGGTTTGGTGAGCTGGACAGAGAATGCATAGAGGCTTGCAGAAATATGAAGGAGAGCTCACCCCCATGGTGAGGTGGGAAGCATCCCAATTCTGTGCCTTTACTATCATTTAAAATACTCAATGCTAAACTACTAAATGTAAATGCTTCCTTGAGGTCTGAGAGTTCTGTGCTTACAACAATATCCTTTAAAATAAGAAGGGGCTGTGGAATCCCAAGTTGTGGCTGGTCAATGTGAAGTTCTGCAGGCCCAGGCTTCTGCCTAGTGTCTGCACTGGGGCCATGGTGCAGGGCTGAGCCCGACCCACGGGAATGTGCTGCTGTCTCCAGGTGGACAGTGTCAGGATGGATTTCGGTTACACACACCCACTGGGCCTGGTTGCAGAGCTGCCCGTGGGCTTGTGTGCAGAGTACACCCCCACACATTTGAGATGTCAGTGATCTATTATTGTGAATATGAAGTAGAAGAAACTGAGTTGAATGACTTTCCCCTGTACCTTGGTTAAACTGCAAAATAAGGAGAAAAAGTCCTCTTACATTTATTAAAAACAGTGGGTTTTAGCTGTATTTAGTAAATGTATTGTGAGTTTAGTTGTCCGCTGTGACAAATGAGAAGTAAGACTAAGGAAGTTGCAACTTAGCAATTTTTTTTTTTTGGTCAATTAACAAAGCAGCATCAAGGGGGGGGAGGGGGGAGTCAGAGAGCATCACACTAGTAACTGCAGGAGTTACTTGATTACATTTTATTTGTGTTTTCCAGGTAAGTACTCTATCTCTTGAGCCACACTATCCCCCCTTTTGTTTTTGAGATAAGGTCTCATGCTTTTGATAAAATCCTTCTACATTGCCTTTCCAAGTAGCTGGAATTACAGGCACAAAGTAACCATATCCAGCTTGTTTTCTGAGATAAGATCTCATAAATGTTTGCCTGGATATGCCTTATTAGTGAGATAAGGTCTCACAAATGTTTGCCTGAATTTCCTTTCTCCACCCCCAGAGTAGCTGGGATTACATTACTACAGAAAGAAAAATGCATATTTGGGTGTCTCTTGGGATATGATTTAATTTTTTTCTGTGTGACATAGTAAAAATGTTGGGAAACACAATTCTACAAAAAAATGTAGTATTTCTGAATTGCTCAGGGACAGCTCCCAGGTCTAGAGCTCAAGCCCCAGGACTGACCAAAAAAAAAAAAAAGAGAGAGAGAGAGAGATCTTTCATGTGATTGTTTCTAACATATTTATAAGATTATATCTTTGTTGCTTTGTATGTCCCTCCCCCATGGTATAACCCCTGCTTTCACTATATATTATGTTGGTATATGTGGAGGGGAAGGGAAAAAATAAATCGTTAAAACAGGGATACAGGAGGACCCATTGCAACAATGAGATGTACAAGTCCTTTTGTCGAAAAATGAACTTTACAACTTTGGTGGGGGAAATGCGGGGGTTGGGGGGGAGGTTGAGAAGGGATGGGAAGCGGAAACAAAGGAGGAAGCTACAATCCTTGATAAGAAATGTACTCATTATCTTGCCCATGTAATTGTAACCCCTCTGTACAGTATTTTCACAATAAAATAAATGTAGTATTTTACATATTAGTAATACATTAGGGGGCTGGGCTCAGTGGTAGAGTGCTTGCCTTGCATGCATGAGGCCCTGGGTTCAATTCCTCAGCACCACATAAGCAGAAAAAGCCGGAAGTGGTGCTGTGGCTCAAGTGGTAGAGCGCTAGCCTTGAGCTGAAGAGCTGAGGGACAGCGCTCAGGCCCAGAGTTCAGGCCCTACAACCGACCAAAAAAAAAAACCCCCACAAACATTAATTTACATATTAATCTACATTACTTCACTTGTATAAATTTTACAGTTCATAGTACTAAAGCATACAGTGGGAGTGACATAAAGTTAGCTGAACTTCTATGGCCAAAAAACCATAACACAAATGGTAAAGTGTTGTGAAATTTTATACAGTAATTTGTAACTCACTTAAAAGAAAAAAGTTTTTGGTATTCCAAAAACTTCGCTGTAATTTCCTTGGTCCAAAAGTTCCAATATGAGAAGAGGCAACCTGAGGTATACACAGATCCCTGCCTTTGGGGAGGACACCCTGTTGGGTCTGTAACCTTCATCAGTCATTCCCCAGACTCAGATTCCTCATGCTCAGCAAGGCCAGAAGAGTTCAGCAGAGTTTGTGTGGCCTGAGCCTCCCTGACTAGGTGGCTAGAAAGTCTAAACCTTCCCTCTCCTGATTCTAAAACGTAAGAACAGCCAAATTCATTACAAAGGCAAAAATAACACCCAGCTTATCTCATTATACCAAGATCCATCCATCTTTACCCAATCATACCTTGATGACAGACCAGATAGCGCTTTCTGGAGAATCTCAGGGGTTCTATCTGAGGATGGTGGGCTTTCTAGAAGGTCAGAATCACCTCTGGAATCCAAATCTCCATATCTGTCATCAATATCTGTTTCCTAAAATCATTAAAAAGAAAAGACAATCATTGAAAAGACAATCACTTTAGCAAAATGATTTTTAAAAGTATTGCTTGTCAAATGCATTCATTTATGGTTCAGTGTGTTAAAACTCAGTGGTAAGCCTGGAGATGTGGCTCAGCCATAGAGTGTTTGCCTGGTAAGCATGAGGCTATGAGTTCAAATCTCAGTATAGCCAAAACAAACACATTCAGTTACATAATCTGAAACAAAGAAACAACTGTTAATTTGTTGTTACTATTCACGCCTATGTTTTTTTTAATAGGGAAAGCTTAATCATCTTTGCTAAAATTTTGATATGAAGGACTAATTTAAAAGACACCTAATCAGCTGCTATTGCTCTCTAAATCAGAAAAGGATTGAGAAATCTATATTTATTGTTTTGCTACTTCACTGGCAGAGGAGGTGTCATTTCTGTGGAGATTCTGATGGGCTGCTCACCACTTTTTTTTATTTGAGTACAAGTATCAAGAGTATGAAGAATATCTTACAGCTTATATATAATATATATATATCATGTATCATATATATGATATACAACATGTATCATTAACTTCCATCATTTTTTAGATCCTTAAAAGACAATCCTAATGCAGTATATCAAACAGTTCAAATTTCTGTTTTACTGATAGGTAAACAACAATCAAAAGCATTTATTTTAGGTGGTGACCAAAGTGACTTCTAAGCATGAAGCCACAGGAACAGTGTTTTTATACTGCATGTGGCACCAAGCTCTGGGCCTCTGCGCCAGGCTGGCACTGGAGAACTTTCCAGACAGGGTGGCTAAGGCAATTTTAAGTACAAAGATGCTATCTAGTCTCAGTTTTGAAGTTGGTCTCTGTTCCTCTGTCCTGCTGTCTTTGTGTCCTGCTGTCTTGTCTTCTGCTGCCCCTCTAGCTTACCCCCACCCCATGTTCTCCAACCCCACCTACCGTCAATAAAGACCTTCAGTGGCTTACTGAGTATAACACTGGAGACCCAATCTGGCACAAAAAGCAAATAGGAGCACTGGGTAGTGTGTGATCTAGAAATGCCCTTAGGAGGAAATTGTCTCCTATTGGGGAATGTTGAGAAAGCCCTATTAGCTCCAAAGCTTTGGCAAATGCTATCACTCCTCTTAACTGCTTCTCCACCAGAAAACAATGGTGTAACATAATATCAGGGGCTTTGTAAACTCCAGGAAGTGGTAAGCTACTATTATTATTGAATCAAGTCTTCAAATTCCTCATTAAGTGGTTTACCAAATAAAACATCAGCCTATGGGTAATATTTCAGTTCTCATTAATGACAATAAACTTTAGTTTACAAACTGTAACTGTTTTACTAAACAATTATGAAAGTAGAATGACAAAAGGAACCAGCATATGGAATTCCCACTGGGCTTCTGAGTCAGCTGTTCCAGAGCCATTTGTACGGAGACTGCTGCTGACTGACTGGTAAGACGCACACAGAGCATCTACCCTAAGGCAGCAGGGCATGGTCAAGCATCCCAGACTAGGGAGTCTTTGTCATCTAGAACAGTGGAGCACAGTGCTTCCTTTCCACATGACCTTCACCTTTAGTAGCTTGGACAGGTGAGGGGAGGGAGGAGTGGGGGAGGTGATGACTAATGCAAGTGGCTCTCAGAGGCGCACAATAGAGTAGTGGAGCAGAGGTTACCAGTGCTACTTCCTCCACCACTGTAGTATCAGTGGAACAACAAGGCGCATCACCAAACCCCAAGGAAAGTCTGGCCCTGGTTTCCACATGTGTAAAAATGGCAGCACTGGCCTAGATTAAATATTCTTGAGCAGAATGCAGATGTGGCCTGTCATGGCTCATGGTCTGTAAGGGCTGACCTCTGCTCTCAGTGATGCCAGTTAAGCTGCTGGTGTCTACTTTATGTCCTTGGAGAAACACAAACTTTTAAAATTTAAGATTCTGCTTATTCAATTTCCTTGTAATTACAGAATAAAAAATAATTCCTAAATACTGGCATTTTAGGGCAACATTATCCAAGCTCAGGAATCAGTAGCAAGGACTTTTACTCTGCACAGCCCCTCTATTTCAAACATGGTAGTCTTGATCAGAAAGTGAGGGGAAAGAACAAAATAGTACTTTAGTTGTTTAAGTGTTTAGAAGAACCAAATCAGGAGCTGTATTTTGTCAGGGTCATAATTAAAATCTTCCTTCCAACTTGGGCCCATAATCCTATGTATCATCTCAGCTTCCATTCAAATTACTTGTCCACCACAAACTTGCATGCCCAACTTCCAGTACACTTCAAGTGGGGAGCAGGATGTGGCAGTGTCTCTTTTACCATCATCAGAAACTCAACAGAATCAAACAGACATTTTTCGCTCCCATCCCAAGCCTGGTGTCTCCTCTGCTTCTGACTGCTGAGAAGATACTGTCACCCACTTAAAGTAATACTCAGGTCAGAAATTTGGCACTCAAGTATGCACAGCTCACAGCCTTAGGTAATTTTGCTTGGATTTTAACCAGGCAAACTGAGATTGTCATTCTCTCCAAACTGATTTGTGGATTCAACATGGTCCCAATAAGCAATGTAAAGGTGCTTTATTATTTATTTTGGCAGAACTTTATATAAAATTGCAAAGAACATGGAAGAGCCAAAAAAAAGGAATAAAGTTGAACAGGATGTGGTGGTAGCTAATGTCCATGTTGGCAGCTGTTAAGTAAGCAATGGAACAGAATATAGAGTCCAGAAATAAATCTACATACAAATGATAAACAGATTCTCAATGAAGTTGCAGAGGGCTGGCAAAATTGAAAAAATTACTGACCCATGCTTCATACCATATATAAAACAAATCAAATTAGATCATAGAGCTCTACTAAGACGTCCACAAAATCTCTGGGACCATGAGTTAGGCAACGAATTCTTAAATATGACAACAATACAGGCCACTAAGGAAAAAAATAACAAATATTATTTCATCAACATTAACATTTCTGATTTTCAAAGGATGCTATTAGGAAGATGAGCAAGCAAGCTATAGACAGGGAGAAGGCATTTGCAAATCATATATCTGGCAGTGGCCCTTACATCTAGAACACATAAATTTCAGTAAGAAAAAGATTAACTCAATTTAGAACATGAGCAAATATTTTAGCAATCACTTTACACCAAAGGCAACACACAGATGGCAAATAGGCACAAATATGATCAACATATTAGTCATTAGGGAAATAAAAGGCAAAAACACAATGTGAACCAGACATGGTGGCACATGCTTATGGTCCCAGCTACAAAGTAGGCTAAGGTGGGAGGATCACAAATTCCAAGCCAGTTTGGGCAATACAGAGAGAGATTCAAAAGAAAAAAAAAACTTGAAATTAAGCTCAAAGTGATACCACTATATACCTACTAGAATGACTGAAATTAAGAAAATACATGCATGATCATACCAACTGGTAGGAAAAACTGTCATTTTTATACACTGCTGTTGGGAATGTAAAACAGTATGGCAGTATGGCCACTTTGAGACACAGGTTGACAGTTTTTTTAAAAAAAAATTAAATATATAAGCCACACCTGTAATTCTACTCAGGAGGCTGAGATCTGAGGATCATGGTTCAAAGACAGCCCAGGCAGGAAAGTCTGTGAGACTATTATTTTCAGTTAACTACCAAAAAGCCAGAAGTAGAGCTGTGGATCAAGGATGGTATAGCACCATCCTTGAGCAAAATATAGCTAAGGGACAGTAGCCAAGCACTGAGTTAAAATCCCAATACCAGCACACAAAAAATTGTTTTTAATTTCAGAAAAGGTGAACTCAACTTAAGATGCAAAAATGCAGATCAGTGGGTTCCTAGGAGTAAGGGGAAAATCACAGAAAGGCGAAAACTTTCAGCAGTAAAAGATAATGTTCATTATCTCAATTGTGAATATGGTTATCAAATTGTGATTGTTACACACTGACTACTTCTGTCCCTTCAAAAGTTACATGCAGAATTGCTAATCCCTAATGAGAATGACTTAGGTCATTAAGATGAGACATCATGAACAGGATTTGTGCCCTTTTAAGACAGACATAGAGAGATGATCTCAGACTCCGGAACCAAATTGGCAGACCCTTCATCTTAGACATCTAGCCTTTAGAACTACAAAAAAAATCCGTATTTTTAGTCTAGGGTATTTTATTATAACAATGTAAACTAACATAGCACTTTTTAAGTGCTCAATTTAGTGAATGTCATCTATGGCTCATGCAGATTGTTAACAAGTGATTCAAAAACAAAGGGCCAAGGTACTTTCTTATACAAATAATACAGTCCACTCAAGATGGTGGCTCTGAAGAGGAGCCTTTAAACCAATGAGTAGTTTAGAGCTCACCAGTAAAAAACTGTTACATCATAAATATTTTCCAACTATTTAGATCTTGTCTCTCAAAAAGTGGGTCAGAAAATCCCAGTCAGTTTTTCCATGATGGATCCCTGATCCTTGCACTTCAATTCAGCATTAAAATTGTCAGTTAAGTCAAAGGAAATCTGAATATTACAGAGCCCTCTGCCTAAAAGGAGACAAGACTTTAAAAACACTCTTGAAACTAGCCAGGTAAGGTAGTGCACATCTTTAATCTTAGGACAAATTTGAGGCCAACTGTATCTACACAAGTTACAGGCCAGTCTGGGCTATCTAATGACATCTCATCCCTCCCCTCCACCCCCAATTTTTTTTATTTTTATTTTTTGTCAGTCATAGGGCTTGAACTCTGGGCCTGGGCGCTGTATCACACCTCTTCAGCTCAAGGCTAGCGCTCTACCACTTGAGCCACTTCTGGCTTTCTGGTGGTTTACTGGGGTTAAGAGTCTCACGGACTTTCCTGCCTAGACTGGCTTTGAACCACAATACTCAGATCTCAGTCTACTGAGTAACTAGGATTACAGGCGTGGGCCACCAGAGCCCAGCCAAAAAAATGTCTTAAAAGTAAATGGTTCTTCCCCATGGACTCCACTCCCAAGTTTCTCAAGCT